ACACATATATATATTTCTATATCTCTGATATATAAGGCTCTTCTGTCTTTAGTTGAGATTTAGTTCTACCTATCGTTTGCACATGTTTAGAGCATGCCTTCGTTTGTTTAAAATTTCCTCAACTCCCACAATCCCAAAAACGCAACCTCTTCGTCCCGTCAAGAATAAAAAAAAAGAAATTCGAACCGAAATCCCACCTCTTTCCGTCTCCAACCATCAAAATACCGCCGAACTGTGTCGAGTCTGCCATATCATTTCCTGACGCAAATACGTTCATATTATATCATCTACATCCTATGAATGGCATGCCGATGCATGAGACAGTTTTGCTTTCTGTTACTTCCGTCCTTATCCCGGCCGAGCGGCATCCCCAAAGGTGCCGATCGATCCCGCATGTCGAACGTTTTTTCGTCCCTCTTTCACCGAATAATATCCAACGCAATTCTTCTCCTATAACAAACAAATTCGGCACCGAGGGAAAAAAAGAATTGTTTGCACGATATTTATATAGTAGTCGTTGAAAAAAATAAATCTCCGCGCGGTCGTTAGCCACGATATTTCCCCGGGAAATCATTTAATCGTAACGATAACTTCTCTCGGTGCGGAGGCGGGGCGGTGCGGTACGACCGCGATCGTTAAAAGTTTTACAGCGCGAATAAGTAGAAACAACGAATCGCGAGATTTGAAAAAAAAAAAAAGTAATAATAATTGAATGAGAGAGCTGGAAGTTAGGAAAAAAAATCGTCTGGCGGATTCGAGAGCGAGAGAGGGATGTAAGGCGGGACGAAAAGAAAGAGGTAATTGTACAACCCTATTTATATTTAACGGAGTATGAAGACATTCGCGTTAGACGTGTGGAAAGAGCATCATTTGTCGCGGAGGTATTATGTTACCATGATTGTTGAACGAAAAGTCGTACCGACGCGTCCGTAACGATCTTCCCTTATGCCTTTCACCATTCACCACCACGGAACGCTCCCTCCGGATCCTCTTTCGTTTCTCTACCCTCTCGCCTGCGTCCCCCGTCCGCTCCTACCAGCCTCTATTCCTGGCATTATCCTGTTCACGGAGCAAGTGATCCGGTACCCGTTTTACCCTCCCGAAGCAGACTCGGCAGAGCGAAGCGAAACGATAAAAAGCACTGCTGAAAGCACCCTGCCGTGTAAGCTCGCACATTGTCAAGCACAAAGATTCACCGTCACGTGTATAGCACATATATATATATATATATATATATCTTCTATACGCATACGTTTATTATTATTACTGACTGCCATCGTTCACTATTTATCGAGAATATCACATCTACATAATATTATATATATATATACATATATATATATATATATATATATTTCTCACCACCGTATACGTGTGTGTGCACGGGCACCTTGCAAAAGTCACGTAAACGCGCGCCGGCACCGTGTTGTTTCACATTTTTTACTTCTCGCACCCACCACGCACGCATACACGCACCCCGCGGAAGTCTCGCGGCGCCACGCGCGAACGTACACGCACGTGCGTACGTCGCGTGGTGCCGGTCGCCGTCATAGTTTCGCTCACCTTTTGCCCCCTCTATGCACCGATTCTTAAAAGAGCACAAGCACTCGCTTTTCACAAACAATTCGGCTGCGAGACAGCACGTAGCATTCACATGTAGGACGTTCGTGCGCGGGCGTGTGCAGACTTGGATATGCGTATACGTAGAGGCGTTGACGCTCACGTGTTGCGTAAAAGAGCACCGTGCACAGCAGTGGCTATACACAGGTCCGAATAAATATTGTTATAAACGATATGCAATACCGTGTGTGCCGTCAAGCACCAGCACTGAAAGCACCCTCGAAAAGCACCCCCACTGTCGACTGTCGTGCAACCTGAAGCTCCTTCCTGAGGCGATCTCGAAACGGCGCGGTGCAAAAGCCATGATAATATACCAAGATGGTAACGACGGATGCATTGTTGTTGCGAACAATGTTACGTCCGCTTCTAATATTTCCCTGGAATAAAAACGCGATTTAGTATCCATAAAATTGTGATATTGTATGTCGGCTATTAATTGGTGAATTCTCTTACGAAAAATCAACAAAGGAAACAGACCGATCCACATAAGCCGAATGTGTCGATAAATTTTTGGTTCGAAAAAAAATATTGAAAATTATTTTACGTATAAAGAATCGGTTTGTGTGAATGGTATTTTTATCGGAAATTTATTTTCCGTAAATACACAATGTATAACCGATACTGTACATAGAGTCACGCGAAAGATTACAATCGATGATCGACAATGATTGCCTCGCGATACATGTTTTTCGAGACCGCGACAGGAAGGTGCGCGCGTGAATGCGTGAGTGATTGTGTAAAAGGATACCGGATGGAAGAAGGACGACACGCGCGTAAGAAAGCGTACGCGAAAAGTAACGGAAAAAAAAAAAAAACAAACAAACAAATATCAGAAAAGTCACAAGGAAAAATGGTATATAATAAAAATCAAATCGAGATCACTTCGCGCGATAGATTTTCTCTGCGCCCAAGCGAATCCGACGAGGAAAAGAGTCGGATAATTTGTACCGAGAAAAAGAGAAAAAGAAACGTTCGCGAGGCGTTTTCTTGGAAACATTTGAATACCAATATTCATCAGACCTATTTTCTGATTATATTGCCATTTTTATGCTCATCAGTCACAGTTTCGTGGATTCGACGAGTAAATCATTTCCAACGTCGGCTCATCAGACTTCGCCTTCGCCGGAAACGATTGATGACCCCTAATATCCGCGTCAGCGAAGAACATCCCCGTTTTTTTTTCTTTTTTTTTTTTTCTTTTTTTTTTTAAAGTCAGCACAAGAAATGGAAATGCGGAGCGCACACTCCGCAAAGTGAATTCTCAATTTCCGCTCGTGCGTGCGGTATTTGGCACGGATGAAGCATACCCTCTGCCTAGAAAAAAGAAAGTTATCGTATGCTGCGCTGACCGCACGGATGAAAACGGGAAATCTGGACATATGTAGTCGACGAGCATCAGGTCCCATTAATTTTCATATGTAACCACTCGGCGACCGTTTTCTATATTACGTATATTCTTCGCTCTCTGCATGCGAAACTCTGATCCATTTTTTTAACTTCTATGTCTCTGTAAGTGGAACATAGTATACTCTATTATTCAGATGATACTTCGATATGTACGAAATACTTTATTTAAGTATCATTTATAGCATCTCTTTCTATATACATATTCTATCTTTTTGTCTCGAGAGACGCACACATTTTTTTTATATGGATATCTAGAGAAGGTATATAATTACATATTGTATATGTAAATGTGATTTATTTCCTTTTATATCTCAATTTCTCTAAGCAACGGTTGAAGCAACGCTCCTTTCGTAGGCGTAATGTTAAAGTCTTAAGAGCTTCGGCTGCCCGTTTTGATTGTTCCTGATTGTTTCCTTCTCAATTTTTTACTTGACACGTAAACTATATATCACTGTTATGTCCCAATAAAGCGCATGATTTATGACAGTTCGTTTCCTTTAGCTCGATCCAGCTAGTTTCGCCAATTTGAATTAGACATTTTAGATGTCATTGACAGTTTCGACCACACTCGATCATCGACAGAGTACGCGCCAGCACGATTCGTTAATCAAATAAACGGCACGACCACCTCTACCAACGCGTCTCGGCAACGGCTGTCGACACGTATTAACGCGCGTGTTTTACGCGGAATTTTGTGATTTTTGCGTGGATGAATGCGCGGGTGGATGTTGACATTGAGAGAAAAAGAGAGAGAAAGAGAGAAAGTGAGGGAAAGAAAAAAAAAGGGAGATGAAGGAGAGACAAATAGCGGGGGTATTTTTTTATAATATCCCAAACGAGAGAGTGGTCTCGCTCTTTGTCTGTCTCTCTCTTTCTCTCTGTTTCTTTCTCTCGACTTCTCTCTCGCTCGCTCTCTCTCTCTCTCTCTCTCTCTTTCTCTCTCGTGTTCTCTCTAATTTACCCTGCCTCCCCTTTGCTGAAACGACAAAAGTTTTTTGATCGAGCTGCTGTTTTTTGCGGGTGACTTTTTGGAGTTGCAAAAAGAGAAAGAAAGTAAAACAATTTTTCCTCAGAAGACACTCCACCCCACCGACATATATCCCGATCTTATATCGTGAATTTTTTGAACTACTTACGGAAAATATCACGAGAATCGCGAAAATTTTTCTCACGACTGCCCATTTCTATAGAATACCGTAGTAATAACCGATGATACCCCTTTCTCTCGTTTGATACATCCTAGAAAACCGTCCACCTTATTCTTTCTTATGGTTTCTCCTACCTATAGCTTTCTTTTTGTAGGCATTTTATCATAGGTCTTCCCCTTTGATGTCTCGTGTTGGGGGAGAAGGGAAAGAGGGAAAAATTTAATATCCCGACACTTTTAAATCGTTATCACTGGCAGCCGTGATTTCGGATAAATTTTAAGAAACGTGAGATATTTGGCCCTTTGTGTCTTGCCCCCGACACGAGGCAGGTGAACACATTGAGCCTTTAGTTATTTCATATTTGGAGTAGTGATTGCGCATGCCAAAAAAAAAAGATATTCTCACGTCTCCCGCCTCTCTGCGACCAACTGCAACCGAGGGCCAAGCGATCATTCTTTTTTTTTTTGGTCTATGTAACGATCGATTGGAATCATGAATCTTGTTGCCATCGACATTCGTTAGCAGTTGCGAGACTAAATAAGCGGTGCGACTGTCATCGAGCGCATGGGATCAGGGCGAAAGGATCGAATCGAGTGAATGCGAACGCGTGCCTGTTTCGAGAAGAGAAGGATAACGAGATCTCTATATATATATTTTTTTGTCATAAAAAAGAATCGAGAGTATAGCCATTATATAGAGAGGGCCAATTTTGATGATAATCAGTAGTGTGCTACCCATTGATATGCCTTAAAGATTAATTAAATTACATTATATTTCTACTCAATGTACGTGCGAAGTTGACACGAATTTTTACGAGTTTTTTTTCCCACTTTTTTGGCGACTTTTGGGGCGCAGCTGAAAAAAGTGAGTATCCCTTAGCTCGTCTCGAGTTGTGCCATGACATTTTTCTATACCGTCTATTTTTTATTTCACTTTTCCTTTTTGTTACCGTCTCTCGTTTTTTGCATATGTACACTCTTATTTTGTTGTCTGTCAAGAGAGTCTAATCTCGAAGTGTCGTCCTACAGTTATTTTGTCTTTTTTTTTATTCTTTTTTTTTGCTGCAGCCAGTGAATATATTATAATAATCTTAAGGAACATACGTTATAACGCTGCGACTGCGCGCGCTCGCCACCCTTGTTTTTTGCACTACATAGCGAAGTTGTAAGTGTGATCTTGATCTTACTTGACTGTGTATACATGCGAGAGTTAGAAAGCAGAGCGAGCACGCGATCTACCAATCGCTTCTCATCAAGTTCGCGCTACGACGATTCAGTTTCTGCGTCGGAATTTTCTGTATGTACTTTCGTTGCGGCGCAAGTTTCGTTTTTTGCGAATTCCCTCCGCCGTAGAGCTGCTGTTACTGTTACATATATATATATACATATCGTGCGGAAGTAGGTATTAGGTAGTGCTGATTTTTTATCTGGATTTTTATTTTCGTCACCACGTTTTACGTTTTCCCATTTCTCTCTCACAACGCGCCAATTAGTCATGTAGCGAATACGACAAATACTGGACCGTCCATGAAATAATTATCAAATTATCTCACTCAAGAAACACCGACGTCTCTTGCAATAATAAGAAGTTACGACTCAAATATACAAAATCGCCGCGTGTATTTTTGCATACGACAGTCGCGACATTCTAGTCACAGAAAAAAAAATTAGATCAAGTCTTAAGTCAAGACAAATATTTTTATATATTATATAAGTAAAAATATCATAATCTTCTTAGAAAATTTTAACTTGATTTACATTACCAGTTAATGTAGTATACTTTTGCAAATTACTTTCAATTCAAGATAGAAATCTCTATGAAGATTATTATTAATTCTTGTCTATAGAAGTATATATATATATATATATATATATATATATATATATATATATTTATATTTGCATCAATATAAATTCAGTCAAATCAAGATTAAAATTTTTTTAAGAAACCTATAATATTCTTGCTTATATATGAATATCCGTCTGATTGAAGACTAATTTCTTTTCCGTGTAACTTCAGCAGTCGAGTGCAGTGGTTGTATAAATAAATGTTGTAAATAGGCGATGTTTGTATATTTATCATCACTACTTCGCATTCGGCCGAGAAGACAAGATCCCGCGACTCCGTCGTCGTCGTAGCAACTTTCGTCCCCCGACGACGAACGTATTTGTTGCCCTCACAACCCCCTCCGTGAAAACTCTTGCAACCAACTATCTACTTGGTCTCTCACAAGTCATGGACTCTCCAATATTGCCGCTGTGTTATCGTGTCCAACGTTACCGCGTACTTTACCGTACATCCGGTGACGTGTCTACGCGCGCTTGTATACGCGAAGTCGAACCAAATGCGCGGAAATTAAAGAAAAAAAAAAACTATTAAAAAAATGAAACGAAAGAAAGAAAGAGAGAAAAAAAAGCATTATTGGTATTCAAATGGAGGATCGTAATCGTATCAGGGGCGTAGAGCATGGGGTACAACGTGCCTCGTAATATTGTTTGTACGTCGTTTTGTCCGTGTATGATTGGCGGCATGTAATTACCTACTCCACTATTTTCTTCGTCTTGTTCTTCTTTTTATCATTCCATCTTTCTTTCGTTCGCGTTCTTATTTTACTTATGATTTCTCTCTCTCTCTGCAACCGCCACAATCGCTCTGGTACTTTCGTTTCCCTTCTCGATTGTATCTCATTGCTCGTTTTCGCTGTCATCTACTTTTCTTTTCTTTTCTTTTCTTTCTTTCTTTCTTTTCTTTTTTTTTTTCACCGTTTACAGCGGACGAATTGGACGACGGATGGACGGTCGCGAAATGTAGAGGAAACGTTTTCGCATTGTATAAAGCCGATTCTACTTTTTCGCTTTTTCTTTCTTTGAATACATTTTATCTTACGACAAAAGTACTTTGTCGCTACTAACATATTACGCTTATCGCTTCTCACGTTGTTCTTTGCTTCTGGAATGTAAATAATGACTTAATGATCTTCCGGTAGACAGGACAGACTGCGAATGACTTACATACATTTTTGTTTCTTTTCCTTCTTCCGATCGTGTTTCCCTTGAGTTTTATACAAAGATTTCATTTATTATTTCAGATTTATTAAATCCATTATTTATTATCCCCTCTTCACGTACGTCTGAGAGTGCATATGGGCGTGTGTCTGTGAGTGTGACGTCAGATGAGCATAAAGTGCGCGAATTAATTATGGATGGCGTTACAGTGCCGGGGGATCCTCAGGACGTCAAAGTCACGCCGATCAACTCGACGGCGATACACGTCGAGTGGAAGCCGCCGAAAGCGAAAGATCAGAACGGCGTCATACGGGGGTATCACATACACGTGCAAGAAGTGAGGGAGGAGGTCAGTTTGCGGCTGCTGCACGATCAATAGCGTAGCGTTAGAAGTTTTGGACTCTTACGCGAAAACTTGCTGATAAAACCCTTTATCTTTATTCATCTTTCTATTCACGTGTAATATTATCGTGAGCCCCTTTATCTTTACCATCCCTGTTCAAGTATTAATAGAATATCCGTCTTAAATAATAAAATCTTTAAAATTAATATTTCAATTTTCGTAAAAATAAACTCTGGCAATTTATTTGAAAAATATATATAATAAATGTAAATTCTATTGAAGTAAATCTTATAAATACAAAAAAATATCTTAATTTATCTGAATCGATCTTAATTTTAATTAATTTAATTTTTTGTTTTATTATTACAAGGTGTGATTCACATATATGTTTTTTTAAATTGTCAAAGTATTTTTTATAAAACATATTATATATCTAATGTAACAATCAAATTAATATTTGACTAAAGTTATCACGATTATACTAATTGCACAGCCTGTTACAATATTTCTCTTAAATGAAACTTAAATAAAGCAAGCGGGGTAAATACGATGATTTCTTAGGGGAAAGATACTCTACTGAACGAACCGATACGGCGAGACGTGCACGAGGACGGCGTGTTAGAGGTGAACATCACGGGGCTGCAACCGGACACGAGATACTCGGTGCAAGTGGCGGCGTTGACGAGAAAAGGAGACGGGGACCGTTCGGTACCGATACATGTTAGAACTCCGGGCGGTGTACCAAACAGGCCGCAAGTCAACGTGAAGTAAGAATCATCTGTTTGAAATTACGAAATATGTTTTTGCAAATGTGCTTATGCATGTTATTTTTTTTTTTTTAGTAGTCCTGAGCAGAGGACCCGAGCCCGTCTTGGAGCTCGAATGGGGCCAACCTACTCTAACTTACGGCAATCTATTGGGATATCGTATCCGATATGGTCTCAGGAATCAAACGCTTAAAGAGGAATTTATCGAGGATACGCGTCAACATACGTACAAAATCACGGATCTCGGTGAGAAAAATTAGTGTATCATCGTTAGTATTCTATATCATATAAGAATATTCAATAATTTTCATGATACAATATAAATTTTCTTCTTTGCACATTTATTACGTGCAAAGTGATATGTTTATTATAATATCATGAATATTCAATAATAATCGTAATTGTAATATCTACTAGAGATAACTTTAGATTCGTATCTCTACTTTCGTTTAATAAGCTAGTTCAAACAATAAATCTATAGGAGAACAAGGCGTCGAATACGAGTTCAGAGTAGCAGGCAAGAATGATATCGGCTTCGGTCAGGAGACTGTGCGATACTGGTTCAGTCCGGAAGGCGAGCCAACGGGACCACCAACGAATCTATCGTACTTCTTTCAAACTCCCGACACTGTGTGCGTGACTTGGGATAAACCGCTTCGACAGCACAGAAACGGCCAGATAATCGGTTACGACGTGCAGTTCAACAAGAAGAACGATCACTCTACCACTACAGATAGAAATACGACCAAAACGAGGGCGGTATTCACCAATCTGGAGGAGAACACTGAATACGTTTTTCACGTGCGAGCACACACATCGAAAGGCAGTGGCCCGTATTCCGAGAAAATCACGATAATGACGGAAAAGGACATCGGTCGAGCTCCAATGTCCGTGAGAGCCGTGGCCACGTCGGACTCCAGCGTGGAAGTATGGTGGGAGCCGGTGCCTAACAGAGGAAAGATCGTCGGTTATCAGATCTTTTACACTACCACTGCCGTAGAGGATCTCGATGAGTGGAAGCAAAAGAGTGTTGGTCTAACGGAATCGGCGGATCTCGTTAATCTAGAGAAATTCACGCAATATGCTATAACGGTAGCGGCACGGTATAAAACTGGCTTGGGAAGACTGAGCGAAAAAGTTACGGTAAAAGTAAAGCCAGAAGACGTCCCGTTGAATCTTAGAGCGCCAGATTCGTCAACACATTCGATGTCCCTCTCTTGGACTCCGCCTATAAGACTGACACCGATGAAATACAAAGTCTCGTTCGATGCTGTTAAAGAATTCGTGGATTCCCAAGGAATAACGCAAACACAGATTGTGCCACGCAGACAAATTACTTTGGATCCCCAAGTCACGACTACGACCATAAACGAATTGCAACCGTTTACGACTTATAACGTCAACGTGAGCGCTGTACCGCGCGACGGTCAGTATAGACCACCGGCGAAGATTACAGTTACCACACAAATGGCCGCACCCAAGCCAATGGTAAAGCCAGATTTTTACGGTGTAGTGAATGGTGAAGAAATTCAAGTTATTCTACCGCAAGCTTCCGAGGAATATGGGCCAATCTCGCACTATTACCTCATTGTTGTGCCCGAGGACAAAAGTACAGCCGACAAACAGCCGGATGAACTAACTGAGGATATGATCAGCGGAAAAGGTGCCAAGCAGGAAAAAGAAAATGCGCCTTATATCGCAGCTAAGTTTCCACATAGAGACATTCCGTATACGTTCCATTTAGGTAGCGGAGACATCTACGAGGGATACGAAAATCGAAGGCTCGTCAAAAATAAACGTTATAGGATATTCGTAAGAGCCGTAGTTGATACTCCACGAAAGGTAAGATGCAAGCGATTTGAATGACTTATCCAAATAACTTGTGAATAAATCAATAATTGTGAAAAACTATTCCTTTTAGCATTTATACACGTCATCACCATTTTCCGAATACTTGTCTCTGGACATGAGAGAAGTACCTCCCGGTGAGCCACCTCGTCGTCCGAATCCCAATACACCTTCAGATGGAAACCCAGAAGTTTCCGTAAAAACTAGCGGTCAAGAGCCAGGAATGCTTTGGGTCGTTGGTCCTATAATCGCGGCATTGATGGTCAGCGTTTGTCTTGTGCTTTTATTCGTTATTAAAAAGTAAGTTTCACTTCTCAAAAATAAATAAATTCAAAAATGTATTGGATACGTAACGAATTTGTTTCATAATTATTTCAGACGAAGACAACCGTGTAAAGCACCGGATCAAGCAGCTGTTACACGACCGCTTATGGCGGCGGATATAAGCTCTAATCACGCGCCTTCGGATCCGGTGGAAATGCGACGATTAAATTTCCAAACCCCTGGTATGATCTCGCATCCGCCGATTCCTATCAGCGAACTGGGCAATCACATTGAACGCCTGAAAGCGAACGACAATCTGAAGTTCAGTCAAGAATATGAGTCAATAGAGCCCGGCCAACAATTCACATGGGACCATTCCAATATGGAAGTCAACGCGTCAAAGAATCGTTACGCCAATGTAATCGCATACGATCATTCGCGAGTCATCCTTCAAACCGTCGACAGTATGCCAGGTTCCGATTACATCAATGCAAATTACTGCGATGGTTACAGAAAACAGAACGCGTACGTGGCCACTCAAGGACCATTGCAAGAGACGTTCGGAGACTTTTGGCGCATGTGTTGGGAGTTGCGTACAAGTACAATCGTGATGATGACAAAATTGGAAGAGAGAACGAGGATAAAATGCGATCAATATTGGCCTACTAGGGGATCCGAGACTTATGGACAAATGACTGTGACCATTAGTGACATTCAAGAATTGGCAACCTACTGTATTCGCACATTCCAGGTATGCCGAGCGGGCTACTCCGAGCGACGAGAGATCAAGCAGTTGCAATTCACAGCGTGGCCCGATCATGGCGTACCAGAACACCCCGCACCATTCTTACAATTCTTGCGCAGAGTTAGATCCCTCAATGTACCCGACAGCGGACCATTGGTGGTGCATTGTAGCGCGGGTGTAGGAAGAACTGGTTGTTTCATTGTGATAGACTCGATGTTAGAAAGAATCAAACATGAGAAGATGATCGATATCTATGGTCACGTCACGTGTTTACGAGCTCAGAGGAATTACATGGTACAAACGGAGGATCAATACATCTTCATTCATGACGCTCTGTTCGAGGCGGTAATTTGCGGCAATACGGAAGTGCCGGCTAGAAATTTGCATTCTCATATTCAGAAACTCATGCAGCCGGAAATCGACAATATAACCGGAATGGAACTAGAATTCAAGAAGCTTTCCAATATCAAGGCCGATTCGACTAGATTTATATCCGCGAATCTACCTTGTAACAAGCACAAGAACCGATTGGTTCATATTCTGCCTTATGAATGCACCAGAGTATGCCTGCAGCCGCAGCGTAATATCGAAGGATCTGATTACATAAATGCGAGCCTGATCGATGGATACCGCTATCGAGGTGCCTACATAGCCACGCAAGGGCCTCTATGCGACACAACCGATGATTTCTGGCGTATGTTGTGGGAGCATAATTCTACGATCGTCGTTATGCTGACGAAACTGAAAGAGATGGGCAGAGAGAAGTGTCACCAGTATTGGCCGTCCGATCGTTCTATTCGTTATCAATGCTTTGTCGTGGATCCGATCGCGGAATATAATATGCCACAGTATATTCTACGAGAGTTCAAGGTGACGGATGCGCGCGACGGAGCTAGTCGCACGGTCAGACAATTCCAATTTATTGACTGGCCGGAGCAAGGTGTGCCGAAATCTGGCGACGGTTTCATCGACTTCATCGGACAGGTGCACAAAACGAAGGAACAATTTGGTCAGGATGGACCGATCACCGTGCACTGCAGTGCCGGTGTAGGAAGAACGGGTGTCTTCATAACGCTTAGCATCGTGTTAGAGCGAATGCAGTACGAGGGTGTGGTCGATATATTTCAGACTGTAAGAATATTGCGCACGCAACGTCCAGCTATGGTTCAAACCGAGGTTCGTGAATTTGGAATTTCAATGAAAAATATAATACATTTTTCGCATATACGTAATTGTGATATTCCTAATATTTTTGTCGCAGGATCAGTATCAGTTCTGCTATCGGGCCAGTTTGGAGTATTTAGGCTCCTTTGATCATTACGCCAACTGACAAGCCGACTCTCGCGAACAGAGGGATCTGTCGAGGGACAAACGAGACCGGCAAAGATGCGAGAGAGATGTCGAGAGGGCAAAAGTACGACGTGTCTAGTACAATAAAGTCATGTCACATACTCGTACCTTCCAAGGACAAATACAGTAGCAGCGCGATTACTAGTGTCGTGGGCAGTTAATATAGAGATGAAATGTTTAGTCAATGGTGTTGCAGTAAATGCATATACGCTGGAAATTTTCACTCTTGACATAGCAAATGAAATTGTGCTGAGCATTCGGCTTAGGCTAATCTCTTTTTAGAAACTAGATTTGAAAGTTCCCTCGCGATGACGCGTCTCAAAACTGCCGCTTAGAAATACGTACAATGCGCGTGGTTATGCAAGCGATTCTGTACGATAATCCTTGTACGATGTCACGTAGGTGTTATTTTTTTTACGCGTAACAAAGCGGATTTCTTAATTTCCAGACATTCTCTCATATCGAGGAATCAATTATCTAAATGCGTCGATGTAATCAAAATTACAAGTTGTCATCACGTAGGATTCGCAAATTAGTAAATTGGAACATATCCCATTTTCAAATCGATCATTCACAGAAGCATTTCTTAAGATCTAAATAATCTAATTTTAAGGTAGACTGAAGATATTACGACCATATCTTTCCCATTCACAAAACACAATGCATTTTTTGTGCATGGTATCTCTTACAAACTGAGACGACAAAGATCAAAATCTTTCTTGCTTGGGATAAGAGTGCTTCCTTCAATAGCATAAATTGCATAAAGGAATGAAACGATCTCGATGTCAACGTTTATATTTGTGAGAGACAGAATACCAAAATGCACAATTAATTGCATGTGTGAAACGCACATCATGAAGATAAGAATCCATAATTCGTCATACGTGGCGTATTCCACGCGAGTACTTATTAAGGTAGAAAAAAAAGAAACCAATTTAGTGACTTTCTTTAGCTATTATAAAAAAAGAAAGAGAGAGATGAAAATTTCCGCTCACAAGAAAAGAGAAAATTGCCATACTGCCAAATTGACAATTATTAATGCTGTACTCATTATGAACGGTAGGGATCTTCTTATTACCTATTATAATAATGTTAGATAGATTGTAAGAAATTGTTTTAAGGATAGATTAAGCGACGCCATTAGAGAAATGAGGATGAAAGAAGAACCCGAATTGAAGAAGGATGAAAGGAAACGGTGCCTATTCAATGAAAGGTGCGCGAATGATGTTGCGCACGTGCTACAAAAGAGAAAAAAGCTAATTTAAATAGAAGCACTGGTGGGTGGTGATGGTATATGTTGAATTTGTGTACTGTTCTCCTGAACCCTCGATACCTTTATGTACAAAGTTCCAATGTAGTTTCTACCTCGAATATTTCTTGCTTGCCTTTCAAATATTTTGAAATAGCATACCATAAATTCACTTATCGGTTAAACTTTTTGAGTTATGAATATATAAAACTTGATAATAAATTTCAAAATTTATCAAAATCAAATTTATATCGAGTATTGATATTATAAACTAAATGATTTAATCGTATATAAAAGACGTAATATATCTTTTTTTAAATTGCCAAATCAATGCCAAAAGCGCGTAATGAAGAACATCACTACACGGTTCTTATTATGGTGAAAATATTTAATCTATTAATTCTATAAAATTTCTGATAATTTTGTAAAATCATGATTATATTGGCAAGTTAATAACAAATGCGAATGTTTCTTCTTACCAGTGATTAAATCACCAGTGGTTTTAAAAAAATAAACACATTAACTGTTTTTATCATCGGTAAATATACTTAATAATACTTAATTTGTCAATCTCAGTGACTAGTACCCAAATTTTAGTAAATCATAGATGATTTTAAAAGTGCTGATTAATTATTTTCACCGTGCATATCCATTTTATACAGTGATAACTTCGAATACATGCATGTATTGCAATTTAAAATTGCAAGCTCTCCAGTCTATGAGGACAATAATTGTGCGCTCGTTTACATTTTCTATACTTCAAAATCTATATGATACTATTTAGTATCATATGTATAGCAAATGTCATATAGCTAATATTTTAGAAAATACCGTCTTAAAAAAGTATACATGTACTATAATGAACGTAACGTCATCTAAATAAAGTAATTTATCAGTCATGAATCTGAGATCTTCTCTGGTTTTTGGCATTTTTTTGGGACTACATATATTCTACGTCTATTATAAAATAGTCGTTATATATTGAAATTATACGAATAATGTCGCACGAGAATGGCAATTCTATTTTATACAATTTTACTCGAACATATTTCTTTTTTCGTTAATTATTGCGGTTCGAGGGTCAGGGACTGCGACTAAATGTACATAAATACACCGTCTGTCATTAGCAACATTATATAAATATATACATATATATATATAAATAAAATGATAAATATATAATATATACATAGATATATATATATATATAAATATAAGAAATACGAGTGTGCATAAGAACATGAAGATATTTAAGAAGATATAGGTATTTTCCAAACTACCATGTTAAATTTTAACTGAAAAAATATGTACTCTACTCATTTATGTTGTACCTACTCGTAATATTTAATTCTCTCAACATTTTTTATTCACGATTTTATACTTTGATATTTTTTTAAATAATAATTTTTAATTGTATTTATCGCATTGTTTTGATGTGTTTTTATATAATAGTTTTCAAATAGACTATTTCTTTATAAAAAGATTTGGATTCTTGCTTATTCGCCTTTTTTTTTGTTCAACAACAAACTGAGGGCCATCTTAGATAGCATTTAATATCATGTATCCTTTGTGCTTGAAAAAGTACTTAATTTATTTTATTTTACTTTTTATTTTACTCATATAAAATATACGTAATTATATGTAAGTAAGTACATCAAATTTTTCATTGCCTGTTAAAAACGATTTATAATAATGGCATTTTTCTAATTTATAATGTAATGATAATTATATAGTACTTGTGTAACAATATATATAATATAATATAATGATAATACTAGTTACAAAAAAATAATTTTACAATTTGCTTTATATCTCAAGTTTTATTATACCAATAATATTTCAAATTAACAACATATTTTAAGTTATCGCATTATGTATTTCTACATAATAATGGCAGTAGGTCTTTTATTATAATGTAACATTTGGCCTTCAGAGTGTAATCATAAGCAGGTATTTATTTCCATATGCAACTTATATATTTTGAGCCAAGAAAATATATATTTATACAATATTTTTTTATATAATTATTCCTCTTAAAATTTTGTTTATATAAATTTTCTTCTACAAAATTTGTTTAATACATAATATGCTTAAACATTAAGAATGTTTAAATATATTTTTTTTGTGAATATCTTGGGATAGCAGGAAAGGCTTCTGTAATTGATTTTGATTTTCTCGGATATGCATAATTTCAAAGACTAATTGGTATTTAAAGACACACTCTTCAAGATGTTGCTAATGAAATGTTTTACACGGTGTATGACTGGATAATGTTTATTAGCTCTCTTATAATATATGACTGAAAATGTTAAACACAAAACTCAAAACAATACGTTTTAAAATATTAGAATATAAGAACGGACGACATATAAACAATTATAAGTTGCGCATTGGAGAATTTCATCTGTAAATAACACTAACTTATTTCCATTACAATATTGTTATTCCATTATTGTACAATTAATGATTCAAAGTTCATGATATATAACGCTAAACTACTTTCATTACTAATTTTAGTAAAGTAGTTTTCATCATGGAAACATTTCACAAGAAAAAACCAGTAGCTATTAAACTTTAAAAGTCAAACGCCCTGTATACACTGCGGTTTTTATTATAATGTTCTTAAAAAGAGAAAAAGACTTTTGCTAAAAATATCTGTCGAATCATTATTATAAGTATTCATCTGTAACAAATCATTCAACGTCTTATCCTCATTAAACATTCTTCTAAGAATACTGTAAAGCATGTTAAGTTTTAATAGCGTTAAATCTGACAACCATATACATATACACAGAATTTTCGTGTGAAACTTATGAATTTTAATGTAATTATTATCAACACATGTACTTTGCCAATTTTCTTAATGGCTTCACATTAAAAGTTCCAGGCTAAAATATGTTACGGAAAACGAAATTGAATTATTGTATAAATATATCACTAGTTATAAGTTGATATCGTTAATCTATACTCACTAAAAAAATTTATTGCTACAAGGAAGTCCACAAAATATTCGTACATTTATAACATAATAATTGTAATGTTACACTAAGTTTTTTGTATCATTCCGAAACTTTCGTGTATGTTGTATTTTAGTAGCATGACCCTCGTTAGTCTTTATAATTTTTTAATGATCTAAAATGTATAGCAAAGCGATAATGGTGGTTTGTTGTATTCTTCTTCTTGAAAATGTACACAACTCGCGCATGTCTTCGGAGCAGTTTTGATAATATAATAAAATACAATCGGCTACTGTAGCTCCGTGCAATATAGCGAGTTTGTTATTGTGTATATAAGATCGCCTCAAATTCATCTGTAGATGAATCAGTAAAGTGACTATGGTCGCAGATCCGAAGAAGAATATGAATTTAAAAGCAAAGAATAAGTCAAATACTAAATATCGTTGAAAGAATGGGAAATTATTTTGTGATACTTTCTTGCCAGAAAGAATACAACAGACTGAGGTAAAAAACATGATAAATGCAATGTTACTAATTAACAACTATACAAATAAATATTGTGTAATAGGAAGTCTGTTGACAAGGAAAAATACCGTGTACATTATGTATTGCCTTGCGGCATTAATAAACTAGTACTAACGTAATGATATTTCTTTTTTGTAATGTAAATATATTCATTCTTTAATTCCTTCATTTTTTATGATGAATAATGAATAAATAGGTATAGCGCTAAATTAGAAAAATATGTGAAGATCATTGTCAAGATTGATAACGATTTATTATATAATACTTAAAAGATACTGTCTAACATTATATTATATACAAACATTTGCAAATATTTATTATCATATGAATATAAATTTAAGAACACATCGACACACACACACACACACACACACACACACACACACACACACAGTAATGTTTCAATATTTATAAATTTATATTACATTACTTGGTTGATTGGTAGTATTCGTTGATGGATTCCTGCTCATTATCGAAGTGACCTGCAACAAAATAAATCCAGTAATAACAACACCTAGGCGCAAAACAATAATATATGATAAATTATTTAATTTTTAAGATATACGTTTTGAAACACTTGTTTCCTGATGAAATCACTCGTGGCCGCTGAAATATTCTGATCATTTCCCATTTTACACTTAACATAGCCATACAGATTTGCGCCGTTTAATACTATGGCAATGCAAACGAGCAAAAGCCATTTGAATTTAAGACCAAATAATGCCACAATAAATAATATTGACCAAAAAAGTGGACACAAGATCAGAGCCAACCAAAAGATTCGCGCCTCGGTTGCATTAATGCGGTTCTGTTGTGCACCCTGAAACACAGGGCACATAGCAGACATTGGACTTACACGCATGAAAATGATATATAAGTAATCTACATTATATAAGCTAGATTATTTTAGCTACACGTTTTATAAATAATCACAATAATCAGCAACTGGAACGGAACATAAATTTATTAGATAAATGTCTACTTATAATCTGAATAATGCATATAAATAGTTTTAGAAAGTGCCAAGGGCATAAAAATATATTCGCTGGTAAACCTTGAACTACTCGATTCAATTAAATCAGTGTTTGCTGGAACGTGACAAATAAAAAAATATACTTGATAAAATTGAAAGCTACATTTCAATATAATCTACGCAAGTGGAACTTATGTGATATAAAATGTGATAACATGACATAAGCTTCGTATCTCTTTCGAATACAGAATTAAATGTTTCCTGTATTATAAAATACCAAGAAGTAGCACTTTCTTATTAATCAATAATTTTTATCATTATGATAATGAAACAAATTAAAACACATGTCAAGATAAATAATAAGCGAACCTTTTTAGACTCAAAAACCCAATGACTTTTGCCATCATCATCCACATAATTCCACCATCTAAGGCCGACCATTAATCTCCCCGTAATATTTTTAACAGTCCAAAAATCCATCGACAAAAGTAGTACCACTGTTACAAAGCTTGCTATAAAACTATTTGAAAACCAACCGCAAAGCATATAAACTATTATAGCCGCTATCCGGAAGGCCAAGTGAAACAGCGTAACGTATGGATGTCTAGAATAATAGAAAATATTTTATCTTACAAAAGTACGGCTCTCACATCCGTTTAAAATGACACATTCTCGTTATGTACTTAAGCTTGTTGGCATTCTGGGCCTCCTCTTCCTCTCCAAAAGCAATCGTATCGTCATCCATCAGTAAAGGTACCTACAAACGAGATCGCTAAAACATTCAGAAATAGGAGCACCGAACGTGCATTTATTTCTATGCGTCTATCATGCATATATCTATCATAATGACGTGAATGAGTCAAACTCGAAATATAAATTATGCGTTTCTCGAGACAGGCAGAGAAGTACGAAAAAGACGCGAGACACGTCGGAACCGCGGAAAAACGGCCGCGTTCGCTTCCGCAGAGGACCGGAGCATGATTATCGGTGATTACGAAACCTTCCTTTGGCGTACGCTCTAATATACCTACGGAAATGTCAAGCGAATGTCAGAGTGACAACCTTCCACCGATTGTCGCCGACTAGAATTATTACTCTCGGTCCCCCTCCGTAACGAAACGACACTTATATTTCGCTCTACGAGGCAATCGGACACCTCAGGATTAGGCGCTATACGACTAAAAAAAAACACATGTGGTGTCAGTATGCGGTCGATGTGGAAGATCGGCGTTGTACACCTACCGTTGCGGACGCCATGTTTGCACGTTTGACGATCCGCGGCGCGTCGTCTGCTGGGTTCACGAGGGAAGGTGGGTGGCCTCGCGATCGTCGGCAGAAAAATCACGCCGTTTCTCTCAAAACACGCTACGATAACGCTCGCGTTCCGGCGTTTCACCGTCGGACATTGTCGATCAAGGCGATCACCTTGACATCGTTAATAACCGGCACGAGCAAATCCTTGAGACGAACGGCGCCGATACGGACGAAAGTCGCGCGACTAGTCGAACTCGCTCGCTCGCGCGCGAGTGAGCGAGCGGACGCAACGACGATTGGTCGAGCGTCGGAGGCTCGAACGCGCTCATTGGTCGCGCGCCCGAGGCATGCGCGCTGCGCCTCGCCACTCGCGCATCCTGTATGCCGGCTATTGGAGGAAATTTGAATCTTACTCGATCTAATTCACTTCTCGATCGAAATTCAAATTCGATTTAAACCTAAAATCGACTTCTAATCAACGCAACGTTTAATTCAACTCGAACTTCAAATCCATAAATTACTCCTTCGCTAATTTATCCTTTTTCTTTTAACTTCACCAAGAAACGCGTCGAAAATATTTTGATCCAAAAGACCCACGAATATTGAGTTAGCCGCCACGCGCGACACGTTCTTTCAAGTAATCAGAATAATGTAAAATAGGACACGTAATAATGTAGATAGAACACGGCAGCTTTGGGCGCGCCCAAAACCGGTGCAACTTGGTGATGCGATAAGACATGACGTATAGAAGCGTGTGTGTG